ATAAAACTCTGCATTTTGTCAGCTTCTTCACCAGATAGAACTATGTCATCAGTATATTCTAAGTCAAGCAAGCGTGTCTTCTTTTAAAAGGTCCACTCCTGAAAAGTCAGACGACGATAATGTTAACACTACGTTAAACAAGAATGGCGAGAATGGACAGCCCTGAAGTAAAGAATTCCAATGACAGTTCGCCACGAGCTCTTACTCGACCAGTGGTGTTAGAGTAGAGAGCTTGTATAAGGTTACTGTACTTCTTTGGTGCACCTTTTAATGACAGACACTGCCACAAAACCTCACTATCCACATAGTCGAATGCCGCTTACGGTTGAGTAATATTATTATTGTGGGACGTCCGAACATGTGTCTTAGTTCTAGGATCTGAGTAGTGTGAATATCTGGTCTACACATCCACATGCAGGTCGAAAACCAGCCTGGTTTTCTTTTTTCCGCTCTTCGTGAGCTTCCGTTAAGAGTCGGATTATTGTTGAGGCTAGTATTTTAGATACTATATTAGTTAGACTTATTCCCTTGTGATTATCACTAGAGGACTTTTGTCCGTTCTTATAGACTGGGACAATCAGTGATTGAGACCAGTCGGATGGGATTACGTCCAGTTCCCAGATTCTACCTAAGATCTCGGTCAACCTAGTTGCTAAAACTGGACCACCATCCTTAAAAATCTCAGGGGTCGATCTGTCAAGTCCTGCTGCTGGCCCTCGTTTCAGATTTCCTAGAGTCTTTTCAACTTCATGAAGATTCGGACGGCTTAAGTCGACTTTCCATTTAGGATGACTGGAGATCGTGGGTAACCGGAGTGTGGCCAAAGGCCAGTTAAACTGATCCCTGAAGTGTTCAACCCATCGATCCAATCTCCTGGATTGAGAATGAATCATAAGCCCATCCTTTTCCGAGACAGTCTTACTCACATTCGCATTCCTAATACCGGTTTCTTTGATAAATCGGAATAACTGTCTACTATTGCCTATCGCCGCTGCCTTTTCCATCTCTCTAGCTTTCACTACCCATCACTGTTCGCGATCATTGTGTAGGCTATTTATCAGTCTGTGCTTAGTTCGACTTTGCTCTTCATCATGTTCAAAGCCAGGTGGGATGAGTTTCCGAGCGTCTATCAGTTCGGTAGATGCTACTGAGATCGACTGCTTTTTCCTAGCCTTATGGTTTACCTTACTTGCAGAAATCACTGCTGTTCCCACAGCCTTTTTGGTTTCATTCCAACCTGCATCCGGATGGGAGTTCCTCACCATCTTTATTTCTTTCTTTTAAGTTTATTTCACTTGAATTTACTTCTTGAATAATATCGTCGAACCCTAATCTCTCTGATTACTGCTAATACTTTTACTGCCTCTACTACTATAGGATTTGAAGTGACAATTGTATCTCTGTGCTAATGTGGTATGGCAACTTGAACTGATGTACTACGTAAGAAGTTATATTGTGTTATTGACTGACTGACTCATCCAAATCTTGTATTTAAACTTTCTGTACAGTAGATTTCATGTCCCTTGAAAGTCTACAATTCTGAGAAATACACGTCATTGAAAATTATACTAGCTTCATAATATCGAAATTCAAAAATGCTCAGACAGTTTAAATCCAGATAATAATCTTCACCATTTTAAACTATAAGTAAGGAATATATAAAGCTCCTCAACTTAAACATTTCCCATTATTATTACCGTAAACGGAATTCTGTAAATAGTAGTCATCTGATTATGCGTTACTCCCATAAACAGAGAAAGATTTTTCAAATCTCAGTAGACAGTCATCAGCTTCCCAGCATTCTACAGTACAAAGAGCACAAAATCCTATGCCTGATTTATCTTTATTAAACAGAGAAAGGCAAACAGTTGAATGAAATACAAATTAATGGGAGGAATGTTTACTCCTTACTAATCACTATTTTTGTTCACTTTCTCCTATTGTTTATTTGATTTTGTCACTAATATAAAGCTGTACTATTTTGCATAATTCACCTCTTAATTTCTAAACACTATAAATGTTCCCTCTAGCAAAAAAATAATATATTAAAGATATTTTATAAAAAGAAACATCAACTAAGGTGATGTTGATCCGAAACATACAAACCAACTACATACACGTAATCTGTATAGTTATGGTTAACTTTTAATGAACCTAAACGGATTCAAAAAGTTTAAAAACAAGGTATTTCATGTAATAAAATGATGAATAATGAATTAAAAGGAGAGTAAGAACGCGAAGTTATTTAACCGTGAATGCTCTAGTTAAATAATTTGTATACAATAATGAAGTATCATTCATAAATGGTTGTACAATATTATGTTTTCAATGATTGTCTTAATCAAAATTCAGAAAGAATTTCATTTATCTACAGAGTAAATCAAGACAAATTTAAAACAGAAGAAATTCTCTCACTAAATGTACGTTTAGAGAAGTAGTGACTGAAAAGTTTAAACAGGCCTTCAAATGCATGAAATCCAGAAGACAGAATTAGTTCTGTTTAGATCAAACTTTTATCACTGTTCGATTAGACCGGTCAGGTGGAATCCAGTGGTCTCATATGTTCAACTTCAGTTAGCCATTGATATCGCCTGATGGTGGTTGTCCAGTACCACTTATATTTAAAGTGTCACTTCTGACATAGTTCAATGACATCAGTCATGAATTCTCACTATAATTTCAGATATCATCAACAAAATAAGTTAGAAATAATGCAAAACGCTAAAAATATGCAAATAAAAAATAATTACCAATCAATCATGTTTCACCTTAAAATCAAATAAATTTGAGAATGAATTCAAAAATATATAGTCGATTGCAAAACTGTTTGATATTATCCTCTGAATGATTTTAGTCAGATTTAGATTTCACCAGTAATCTGTTGTTTAAATAAATGCTACCATTTGTCTCTAGTACTTCTTCAAACACTAGTAACGGATGAATTTAATTTTCAGATGACATGCGTTACTAGTTTCGAATGATTGTCACGTTATGTTATAAACAGAGTGAAGTTGGAAAGATGTGCTACTTCAGTTTCTTGCTAGCGTAAAACGGTTATCCAATTCTTCCCGGTGTACAAAGGTATCCCGAAACTGAGATTAGTCTGTGGCAAGCACTACCGTTTAACCAATATTTATACGTCAATAGAACAGGTATCCTCTTATTACTCTAATAAAGACAAATAAAAATCAACCACTGGTACCTTAGATATCTGGTAGCTGAAATCACTACAGTATGAATGTATTCTATACAGTACCTCTTAAATCGTTACAGACAGATTTCAGTTGATCTTTGGGTTCGTTTGTCATTTCAACTCATTTCCACTTACCTTATGGACTGTTTTCAATAATGGATGTAGATGTCCTATCTCTGGTTACACGGAATTGTAGCTGAATAGTTTAAACATTAGTTTCTGGACTACAGGTTTATGATGAATGTTACCTCGGTTTCCTGTAAAGAAATTTATTCTTCGTTATATTAATAGGAAAAATACTTCATCTATCATTATTATTATTATTATTATTATTATTATTATTATTATTATTATTATTATTATTATTATCGGAATTTGTTACAAGCCCCCGGTATTGTTTTCAAGACTTTCTTTGCATCACAGAGCAAAGTCATATATAGCCAAATAGTTGAATGGTGATGATGGTGTTAACTGGTTGGAAAGTTTTGATTATTTACTACAAATTACAACTGAATAAATCTTCACCCAGTTGACCTAATGAAACTTACATTTTCAACAATGCAGTATTATCCGTCAGATAATCATCAGACCTTGTCCATTATCCTTCTTTTGACATTCTTATTTAACTTAATGCAGCATTCCTATATTATAGGTTTCAATTAAAAAGACAAATAATACTCTAAAAATTATAGAAATCTGTCAACAATTTTCATAGTTGTTTCTTTTACTATTTCATGAGTTTAACTCTCCATTGTATTAGACATATTTTTTATGTATACAATAAAGAAAAAAATGGAGTGAAATTTCGAACTATCAATAATAATCTTATGACATCAATATGACCTTTCAGCAAAATCACATTGAAAGTTCAATAAAATCTTGTCCATACATTTTGAGCTTTCAAAACTATTCATATTTAAAAAAAAAAATTACATACACCAATGATCTGAGTGGATTTCACTGAGCACATATACACATACTAACTGTGGTGGTGGTGATGATGATGATGATGAGGATGGTGATGGGAATATGCATTTTACAGTCTGTACTTCTCCCCCTTAATGTCTAATTTAAGCGTGACATTTTTCTCATCTCATTGTATGAATCCGGGTAAACCTTTGGTCAGAGTCATTGTATATAAGGCAAAACAAATCACATGTACGCATGCAGAGTAAGTGAGTTAATCTACAAAATTCAGGTAAGGGGGCATGATTTCATCCCATTTTCATCTTTGTCACTCCACCCTATATTAATATTATATTATATTACTGCTCCAATCGATATGCCAAGGTCTACATATACATATATTGAATTCTACGCACATCGCCCACTACCATACCTTGTTAGTTAGTAAATTCAAGGGTTGGGGACATAAACGAACATACACATATGCACATGTACACAAATTGAAACATGAGTTCAAACATACTCTTATCAGGCACTTTCTCGAATAAAATTATGACTGTCCGTACTACAATGTGCTAAACTTCACTCGGACTTAGCGTTAATCCATGGGACATCAATATTTCATTGGATAAAAATCCAAACTAATATATGATATACCATCAATTAAAAAAATTCCTCTCTTTGTATATTCACTTACATTATTTGTAAATAAGTAAATTTGTTTGTGAGTACACGGTTATGGCAGTAGTTGTAGTTGTAGTTATAGCGTAAAAGTAACCTGGACGAACAGGACAAAAAAAGAAAAAAGATAAATCCTGTAAATTTTTTTTTGTCTTACCCGTCACAGAAGAAAATTATTAACTAATAATCCACTGAACAATACTACTTATTATCAATTAATATGAATGAACAACAAACATTTCTCATGACTACTACAAATTCTGACGTCGCTACTGATGATGGTGATGCCGCTGCTATTGATACATTGAATGTTGTCAACAATAATTATTCACCACACAATTCATTTACAAATCATACTGAGCAAGAAAAGAAATTTGGACATGAATTGGATAATGAAATTAATAACAATAGTCTTCAAGATGATGAACAATATCATCATCATCATCATCATCATATGCAAGATATGATAATTGATCAGAATGATGTTGATAATGTGACTGAAGATACTGATGATCAAGAATATCAGGATGATATTAATCAATCGAATAAAATGGATACAATGCATTTTAATTTCTCACTTTCTAATCCAAATGATTCTGATGATTCATTGAAACAATTGACAAACATAAGTAAAGATATTGGCAAATCAGTTTATTCCAAATCCAATAATAATGACGACAAAAGACCAAGAAAATTTGTATGTCGTTATTGTAATAAAGCATTTAGTTTAATGAATGTTCTCAAAGTTCATGAAAGAATACATACTGGAGAAAAGCCATATGTTTGTGAAATATGTAATAAAGCATTTAACCAAAGTGGTGAGTTATGTGTATACTTTTCTTGATAAAATTGACTATTGTACAATTAATTATGCCTTACAGATAGTTTCATCAAAATTTTAATCTTTACTATCTAACCTATTTTCGATGTGAATATACTCAGCTTAACATCATATTTTAGTTATCTGAAAGCTGTTTTATCAATTTTACTTCACAAATCGAAGTACATATATGTATATTGAAAATGTACTCTACAAATAGGTAAAAGCAATTTTTTCTGTTGATCATAGTTTATAATTGCTTCGAAATTTCAATCTCATTCAAAAGCACAATTAAAGTAGTGCGGTTATATTTCATTGAAGTTAATTTCTTCCATCTGACAAATCGGTCAGTACATATGAAACCTATGATTGAATTATACCATCTTATGACATAAATGCATTAAGAGAATACGAAAATATTCTGTAATATAATTTAAAATAACATTATTCAGTGAATCTGTTTAAACTCATTTCTAATCTGTCCTACATTGGAACCAACATTTCAGTGTTTGTTTCTTCCCTGAAACTGGGATTGAACCACGAAGCCGTGATCATACCTGATTATTCATCTTAGACTTGTTCGCATTATTTTACCACTATTAAAGTTTCATACACCGTCTGCTTGTATACATATCTGATGTAAAGCATGATATTAAAAGTTCTAGCTTCCAAGTTAATAACTATGCTCCTCATAGATCTTAATAGTAATTTCACTATGCCCAACAAATTTGAGATGACATTTAGATCTTATTTTGATTTTTGATTTTAAAATCCTTGAGATAGGCGTAAAACACTTATGGTAAATAAGTCGCCAATATTTATAGATTGACAAATCACCACAATGTATGGATTGGAAAATGTATTAGTCACTAATATCCGTAACAAAACTATCAGGGTTTTCCCGTGGAAACTGATCATAGGAATGTGTGAACACTGAGAACATTATTGATTAAGTCAAGGGCAGTCTATAATCTATCACAAAAATAAGTTACTTAGCATTACATCAGCATAATAAGAAAGTGAATTAACAAGGGGAAAATCGTAAGACTGAGAATAATGTCCTTAGCGATATTAAGCTAAACATAAGAAATATAATTCCCAAATAACAAATGAAATCAGAGAATCAAAAGTAAGATGACAACGTATATAGATCACTATCAAATAATTTTGAGTTACATTACCCACTGAGAAAATATTGATAAGTTACAGGACAACAAATGAGGCAGAATAATATGAAATGATTATATTTCTTGGTTTCTTATCAGCTGCCATATATATATATATATATATATATATATATATATATATATACAAATTCATATGGAAAACAAACTGCATAAGTTAAAGAAATTATGCTCAGTTTCGAGTTGAATGATTTTAACTCTGGGAAGGGTATCCCATTATTATCTTGAACAAACTTTAAATTATGGATTCATTCACTTCCTTAAAGAGAAAACGCTGCCACTAAACAATTTTATTCAATAAACCATATATATATCTATATACTACATAAACTTAAAGTAGTGGTACTGAACAGTTAATTTTTAGTCTGTTTTCGGCATAAAAATATTGTCCTCCTATAGCAACTTATATCACATTGCCTACATGGGTTGCACTGATGACGAAAAGATAGATATTGTCAATGCTATGTGGTAACTGAGACTAAACCTTTTTTTTCTTATCACATCTGGTTAGTACATAACTAATCATGCATTGCGAACATTCCACATGGCAACTTAAACTCAACCCACTTCAAAAGTTTCTTTGTTTAAATAATAATTCTAGGGTATCCTCAAGAACTGTAGTCAGTCTTCAAAAAGTAATTAAATCTAATTTTCATGATTTAGAGAGGAAATGATCACTGAGATTTTATTAAAATATCCCAATTAGTCATTATCGCTACTATTCCAATGAACTAATCAAATTTTCGGTTAGATGTCTGTAGGTCATTCATTTTACGAAAAGTCACATAATCACACACTCTTACTTGGTCTTATGACATCAGCCTTTTATATTGCAACTATACATATATAACACTCATTGTTCTGTTTTTCCTTCAGCCTTAAGTGTCTGTCAGTTAGTTGGTTTGTCGTTTGTGTCATTTAGTCTCAAGGTCACTAACTCAACTTCGGTAGTCCGTAAAGAAATTAATCAAACAAAAAATAAGATTGATGTTGCCAGACTGCAATCTGCCATACGAAATCTGATATCAAACTTACTGTATGCATTATAATTTGAACAATCGAAAATTCATGATCTGTCTAGGTAACATAAATGAGCACTATTTGAGAGTTAAATTTTAGTTTGTCATCATAATGTTACTACTAGTTCAGAAAAATGATCGTGGTGATATCACACCTAGTCATAGCAACTCCAGAAGTATTTTGGATTTCTTGCTAGCGATGTGCATTTTATACACGAACCACCCATCACACGATGTTGGAAACCGTCATAAGAATCCAAATCATAGTGAGAATTAGGTATATCTAATTTCGTGGATAGTCAAAACACCTAAGCTTTAGACAAGTCAACAAAAATAATTTGTATACTAAATTAAGAACATAAGTTGTTCTGGTTACTATACACCCTGGTTAATCACCTTAACATTTTAATATATCTATTGAACACTGAATAGATGTAATGATTGTCTTCTAGAAATATTCGTTGTTAATCAGTGAGTCAGTAGTTTAGAAGATAATATATACTTTGTCCATGAAGTGAGTATGTTGAACCATAAAATCCCAAGGTTCAATTACTTAACTGCGTATTTTTGTACAGCTAATTCAAAGTGTTGCGCTCATATCAATTTCATTAGCCTCTTAAAATACTGTAGAAATATTTCTGACCAAACAATTTTTAAGTGCCGAATTTATTTATTTGCCATACATGTCATATTAAAAGCACTATTCAGTTAATATAAAACAGTGAAAATAATTAATCGTAGATGGGATTATACATGAAGGCTGAATAGAATTTGATTGCCTTTTAAGAAACAAATTACTTTGGTCATTATTAGTCCAATTATTACTTAGTGTCGTTAGTGCTTGTCTTTACACTGTATGTATTAATGTACTACAGAATGTAATATGAACTACTTTCTACGGATTTCTCATGAAAGGGATAATTTATACTTACGTAGTGTTTACTGTGTAAACTTAATTTTAACTCAGGTTACATATTTGTTCAAATGAATAATACTTCGTAATTGTCTTCAAAGAAGAATGTTACTCAGTGAGTTGTTTGCTCAATAAAAGCTTAATAATTTATCATATCAACTACTTATATTTTGATTACTGTCCATTGATTTCTTTTGTACTTAGCTATTATTCTATTTCGTCGGTTCAGTAGTTTGTGTTTTATCTTATTATTTAAATTTGAAAATAAGGATTCACTACGATTTCCACGACACAAAGTAAGAACAAAATGACTGGTTTTTAGTTTTTTTACTTATCCCTGTCATGCCTAAATGGAGTATAGGCTGCCAATCATCATTCTCCAACTAACTCTGTCTTGAGCCTTTCTTTCTAGTTCTTCCCAGTTGTTATGCACAGTTTTCATCTCTGCCTCCAATTCTTGGAGCAGCAAAGACTGATAAGAGTGAAAATTTATTTTTTTTTCTGAAACAGGACAACAAATGTAATCTACAATACACACATTTGTATATTGATTTGTACACCTATGTGTTTATTAATTAGTAAGTAAAAGAGTCATATATATGAAATTATAACAAAATCGCATGCTACAAGTTATGCTGAACATAGTTCATGTTAATTCAATACATCACTCCGAAGTAAGCAAAAATGCTACACTGCATAGAATATCACACTAAAAATAAGATGAACATTACTCTGAGTAGTCATCTTATTGTACTAAAATGGAAATAATACTAAATGAAAATCAGAGTCAGAAATATTATTTGCTTTTTCATTCCATCATATTATATTCAATTAGCAATAATAGAACGTGACTTGTATTACCTCTATATCAAGCAACTTAACCATGTACTCACAATGCGAACTTTATTATTCAAAAGTAATATCCAATGAGATAATATAAAAGAATAACATTAGCTGCACTCCAGTAAATGAATAATAGAAATTTCACTTCTATTTTATTTATACCAACGTTAAACGAAAGTAATTTGGATTAACTTAGTTCTATTTATTGAGAAGAGATGTGTTCGTTTTGATAAGTCTAATCAAAGTTTATATACACTTAAATTAATCACCAACTTTAATCTGGTTTTCGTTATAGCTGAGGAACTATTGTAAATCAAGATCACTAAATGACCGTTTTGTTTCAGTTTCGGACTAAAGTTCACTACCTCTGCACTGCCTTTAAATCTTATTAAAGAAAAGAACTAAGAACTTTAGAAGTAAATAAAAAAATAACTTCAGAGTCAGTGATGAATGATGATTTACAATTTTGAAATATTGAAATACCTTATCTAAAATATGAATTTTCGAAAAATTTACTTTTATTTTTTTTTAGGTTCATTGAATCGTCATAAGAATACTCATTCTAAGCGTAGCAGTGATAATCGTAGTTATTCGTGTCGATTTTGTCCACGTCAATTTCTTCATTCTAGTCAATTACAAGATCATGAAACAGTAGAGCATAGTATGGAAATGAATATATCGATTACAAAATCAAATGATACCAGAGTTATTGATTATGCTGTAACATTAGCAACATCTTTACCAACTATGACAGCAGCCATAACAACAACAGAAGGAATAACAGATGACTGCAATATATTGAAACAAAATCATTTATCAAGTCAACTACTTTATAGTAAATCACTAAGTAATAATACTCCGAAATTTTCGTCTTCGGAGCCTAACAAGCATAATAAAAACTTTGACAAAAATAATAATAACATCCTTAATAACAACATAGATAGTAGTGATTTAGACAATCCTAATCCAATGTCAATTTTGAATTCTGCACAAAATCATTTTGAACGTAATGTTAAAATTCCTGGCGCATCAAATAAATTTCCATTTCCTTATGGTTTAAATTTGATTAGTAAATTTTTATCTCCTGGTTCAGCAGATGAATTTATTAAGTCATTAGATGATAATGTGAATGGACAATTGAGTCATTTACCGATAGCAACAACAATTACAACAACAACGTCTTCAACAATTGGTGTTACTGCAACCAATACAGCTTCTGATATAAATGTCCCAAAGATTCATAACCCCATTAATAAAGGAATCATTAAACAGGACTTTTTAGACAGTACAAGCACATTCACTTGTACATTATGTTCAGCAAATTTATCATCAAAGACCGAATTAGATTTACATTGGGGTCAACATTTTATACAACAAATGGGTAAGTATGATCAATTCAATATTATTCACTATTCCATCCTTATAAGTAAACATGTCCAGATAATAGCGTCATTCTATTTTAACTGTGAAATTGATCTCAGCTAGGATATTGTTTCAATATAATTTTTTGTAGAGATGATATTTTTCATTGTGAACACACCAACCTAGTTGATCAGTGAAATCAAATTTTCAAAACAATGAACTGTCAAACAATGCATTTCGATTTAAGTAGGTTTGCATAACTGCATTCTTTTGAATTGAGATAGGGGTGCTCATTGAATCCGAGTAGCTAGTCTATCTTTATTCAGTCAGTCAGTCAGTCAGATACATCATAGAAATTGGGACGTACGTTCATAAATTCAAGTTGCCACAAAATATTAGCACACACAAAGAAAATTGTAAATCCATATCTCAGAGTCGTACGGTTAGTAGAAGTGTTAGCGTTAATGGAGAGGATAAGGGATCGAAATTATGATTCGAGAAATATTATTCAGTGAGATCAATTTAAAAAGAGAAAGATAGAGATCATGAGGAATTCAGGTTAGAATGTGAGAGAAAACAAAGAATCACTACACTTACAACATTTTAAACCGTTTCCAGCTATGTCATTCAAAGTCTCTAACCATCCGTCACCTGGTAGTGTTCACCTACGAACATGGCTCAGTCCACTTGTCAGTGACTTCACGGATCTGTGCCATGTTATGATTCGACCACCCCTAGCTTTCTTACAATTTACCCTTACATCACAAAACATAGATCGTCGAGGCAGTCGGTGTTTGAGCATTCGTAACACATGTCCAAACCACCTCAACTGATGAATATTCACTACTTCATCAATTGATTTTCCATCCTTATCTAGTACCTGTTTCCTAACACCAGAATTGTTTACTCAATGGTCCCAGGATATACGAGCGATGCTTCGGAGACAACTATGGATTGAATACTAGTAACCTACGAATAACTTCTACTCTTAATGGCCATATTTCACACCCATTAAGTAGGATGGAGAGAACTGTTGCTCATTACATTCATCCTTTGCTTAGTAAATTGATATCTTGCCTATGCCATAAGTGATTCAAGTTGGTGAAAGCCAGTCAAGCCTTTTGTACCCTGTTGAGATTTCGTTAAACTCCAGGCCATTAGGACTAATGAGACTCCCAATATAAGCGAAGCAGACAACACGCTCAAATACTTCACTCTCTATACCATTTTTATTGACTTCTTGTTGATGTTACCAAAAAAAATCAATAATTGGACGAAGCTATTAATAAAAAGAATCAGAATAAGTTGGCTGATACTTTTATCAATATAACGAAAACAGTTTATTTCATACATCATTACGCTTATTGTGATTCAAGAAAATAAATGCTACTGTCACTAGCCATCACTCAAAATCAACTACAGAAATCAACACTAGGAAATATTTTTTTGTCGAGTTGCATTAGCATAAACTATTGTTAGCCATTTGAATTAACATAAACGCTAACATCTGTATCAGAATCGCAAAAGCTCGTTCGATGTTTGCCAACTTATTTCACTTATAATGCTGCATACCAAAAGGTTCGCGTCGTATGCTGTGGTGCGTTCCATACTTATCTGTGGTTATAATGAATCGATAGAACAAAGATATAACGTCAGTTCATAAAAATAATGATCATTCATACTGGAAGATTTAGGCTTGTTGATTACCATCCTTAAAGTGTTATGAAAAACTGTTGAAGGCCCTGGTTAGTATGAGCTAGGATTTGTCACAGGAAGGAAGAATGGGATTTTTCTACTGCTTTCTTATGTCTTTTTTGCTACTTTTAGGTAGAATATTTTATGCTGGTAAGAAAGGTAACCACTTTAATCGATGATCCATTTTAGTGGATCTCATTATTAGTATTTGTTTGTTCGTATACTTCAATCAGTACATAATCAGGGTTTCATTTCTCTACTTGTGATATGATTAAATTAGTTATGCATTTACACAACAATATTTTAAAATTTAATCAGTACCACTTATTCATTTGAGTTATCAAATACACATTTTAACTTTGAATCTTATGATTCGAAAACGAATCCTGTGTAGATCTATGTTTCAACGGTGTATGCATCTAACTTTTAGTTACTTAAGTCACTAATTTACTTGTTTCTTTACTCACTAATATTTAAGCACTCGGATAGTATTGCTGATAAACAATGATTAAGGATTACTTTACGATATAATGAGTTTACTTTCCAATTAATGTCCATGCCTATGTAATTATGACCCATCCTTTTTCGTTAATATATACATTAATTTATTAAAATACATGCTCATATTTTTAATATAAGTATAAATGGATATAAGTCTCTAGCCGATTGTTGAATACTTCGATTGTCCTCCAAACAACATTATATTTCAGCAATTGAGATATATCACATGGTTTTGTCATGAATAAAATAGTTGTCAAAAAGTTAGTTACTGATACACCAAATCTAACTGTAATGTTGGCTTTTTCAAATAAAAAGTACATTCACAGATTGTTTACAAGTTCACAAATAGGATTAATGTATTTCATTGAATGTTCTCTTTTGAAAGTGACTTTTTATGATCGCTTTTCACGTATACAAATTATGTTTCAAATATTGAAACCAATTAAATATTACTACATAACTTCTTGACATAATTAAAAGTGCAAGAACTCATGTCACAAGTAACAATACTTATATTCACCCTAGAAATGTACTTTAAATACTATACCGTATGAACCGTAAAATTGTGTACTTTTCTAATCTAAGCATATACGTCAATAAATTTTTCGCGTTTCTAATGAATTGTTAGATCTCTGTCTTGTTAGTTTATGATTTTGAATTGATATGGTAGTTGATAATTATTATCTCTTCGAACAAAACCTTCTGTTCAAATCCAAGTACATAAAACTGTATTTGGTCAAACAGTGTGAAAATAATATTAGGATTCGGCTATAAGATTCTGAATTTGTATTAAAATCGATGCCCAAAATATTTAAGACATACAAAACCACCATCTATAAATAATATCATGTTATTTAGTATAGGTCTGGAAAAAGGCGTAAACAAATCATGATGACTTGTTGACCCTAAACAACGTATCTCATAAGTGAACGCAGTGGTATCTCTTTGTAATTGTATAAAATCATCTGATCACTATATTTCTGTCGCTCGTTCATCAACATTACTCATTTTGTTGTTGCTTTTATCATTATTTCTAAGTATATTACTAACAGACAGTGCATCGAATTGGTTCAACATAAAATTTCATGGTTTGAAAACAATAGTCCTCTGATAGTCTAGTAAAATTTATTCAAACCTATGATCGATAATACTGCTTAGTGTTAGGTAATACATTCAAATGGAGTAGTAATACTTTAAGGTTACTTATTCAACCAGTGTTGATTCTGTTTAAGTTTGAATTTAATTTTCATACAAATTTTGGAGCACTTAGTTACCAAATAGGGTTATATAAAATCAAATTTCAGCTAAGCTTTCTTCTGTAAAGGCTTGTAAAACAACCTGAATGAAGTAAAAGAAACACGATTTGAACACTGTGATTAAATAGTTAACTACTAAGAATTGTTAATGATAAGATTTTTGTTAAGTTATTCAGGTATCTCTTTATTTGTAGAACAATTACTGACCAGGTCAAATACATCATGGTAGTTTGCAAACACTTTAGGCTTTTGTAAATCTATCATAAAACAAAATGTATCTTCATTTCTTCCTATTTCATGTTTCGAAACGCATTACTATATTTTAAGCATTGAAGATAATTTCAGTGAAAGATTTTTACTAAGTTTCTTTGTGATAGTAAAGAGAGATATGCCAGTAATTGATCATTGTAAATCTATGCTGTCCAACACTTTAACGGACAGTTTTTATTTTCCACTGTTCACATTACGATGTATACTAAAGTACACTGAAATTGCAATACTTGATTACAACTAATTACCTTTATCAACTAAACATTACAATTCAGTGCAAAAAATTACAATCTATAGATTAGCTAGCTAACTACTCTTAAGGATTTCGGTCATTTCCAGTACCATATAGTGACCCTCGTTAAAATATAACCTAGCATTATGGTAGATTAATTAATTAGTTTGCTTTCCGTTCTGAAGTTAGTTTCTCTTTTTATATCATACAGAGTCCGTACATAATGTATTGAAATGACTTTATTTACCCTGTAAATATAACACACAGTAACATATATTGGTCTTATCACTGCATATATTTCCCCAGTCAATGTTTCAGAGAAATTTCAGTAACAAATTTTCAGTTGACCATAAAAAAGTTCAGAATTCAGCACACGAATGTCAGATATTATCTGTACTCCACAGTCTAGAAAACAATACAATACTCGACCATTAAACTTGATTTTGTGAAATATCCAGCCATCCATTAAGTACGATACCGAAATGAAATATATTTGTTTTCTTAAAATTTAGGCTAAGACTTTATTTTACTGGCATTTCAACATGTACGAGTTATGAGTATCCAGATTTTTAAAAACAATCAAAATGGATCTATTCTTAAATATCGAACTTCCTTACGTACTGTTCCATTATAAACGTGTCTAAGCATTGATTCTACATTTTAGTGAGAAAAAAAAACAGAAAAATGCTAATTACAACCTTATACCCGAAGCCAAAACAAAATTTATAAATCAACAATTTAGGAATAGAAGAACAACACTAACCGTTATAAAATTAATAACACTTCTGCAGTGTATATAGTTGTTCAAATGTTATAAACTGATATCTCTTTAAAATAAATCGCTACATTCTCTATTCGATAATACATACATACATATACCTCCAGTAGGCAGTCAAATCGTAAACTTGTTTCACAATCAGAAACAAAAATGGGGAATGAAACTATAAGAAAAATTTTAATATTTAAATGAAATCTCAATTTCTGTTAGTTGTAACGAACTTTGTAAATGAAAAGAAACAACTGGATAAACATCCTATCCATCTCTTCTGATCACTTAGTACAAGG